GAGGGAGGGCCAATCGAAAAAAATGGCTTGGGGGAGGGGCCTCAGGGCCATAAAATACTTGGGTAGTCAAGGACGTCCTTGGGTTAGTCATGGAGTTAGAAGATACCTCCATGGGTTAGTCTTCTGAAAGATTAGTTAAATTATATGGGCTCATCATCATCATGTCGGGCGTGCTGCAGGGCTCGAAATTAACATTGTCCCAGTGTCAAATGACACTAAATTTTCAGCTCGGGACAATTCAAATTACGTTTCGGGACAATTTTGGGGCAATTGGAAAATTCTAAGACCATCTACGTCATTTGGGAACGCGATCCATCCATCCATCCTGCTGCAGACTGCTGGCAGCCTATAAATATATAATACTCTGACAAACATTAAAATTTGACCAATCAGGGATTCCAAATATCAGGGATGGTGCCATGCCCATGATATTATCATGTATTTCCCTACATTTACTAATCAAGTGGACTTCAAGTTGTACAAATTCAGTTGTTGTTTTCTTATTTTTGTCATCAACTTATTTCCTGAAAAGCAGGCTGGGACAGTCCATCTTCAGTTCGGGACAATTGAAATCTATGTTCGGGACAATTCTGGGACGATAGTGAAAAAAGTTAATTTCGAGGCCTGGTGCTATAACGTTATGTGCTGATACTGGATGCCAGTACTTTTGTATTTGTTGACCCTCATAATTTTTTGTGCAAATTGGGGCCCATATTTGCACACCAGCCCTCCCCGGCCCCCGACCTCGCGAAGTGCAGTGCGTTTATATATATATATAATTTACCTGCGAACCGTCGCCACTTTCACACGGACTCTCACTTTTCCGTTTACGACGTGGTTTCGGGCTGCCCAGACCTTTCGGCTTGCCAGGTTTCGGGGGCGGTCTCGACCCTGCCCGGCGGTTGGAAGTCGATGGGGACGGCGACGGTTTGGGGACGTCGGAGGCCTGCCTAGACGAACTTTGGCGTTGTATCGGTGTGTTACTTGACATCGGCAGAAGGAACTTGAAGATTTTCGTCTGCTGAGCCATACTTGCGGTTCTTTCGACTGCTATGTTTGAACTTGAAGTAGAAACACCGAGACAGACTCAGTCAAAAATTGGCGGGCGAAGGGGAAGGACAGGAATAATTCAGATCAGGTGACTCTTTCTGTCCAATCAAGGTTAACATGATGTCATTATTATAATAATATGATAATGTTAATAGCAGCGCCACCTGTTAGATTTATACAGTATCACACAGGGCCATTTCATTGATAGCGTGTAACATTACCGTTACCATGTTCACATTCATGTTCACATTCCCGGAAGATAGGGACCTACTCTCCAAGCAGAGGTTTGGTTTTCGTTAAAAAGACGGAAGTAAAACTGTCAACCTCGGTTTATATAACTTTGGATGGAAGCATTCGCTTCGAAATTCCAACTCGGGATGAATAAATGGCATGGGACACAGTCTGGACATGACCACATTAAAATATTCAGATTCGTTCAAGAAGGACAGCCCCAGAGTGGTCAGTTGTGGTAATTGGCTAAAAACACAGTGCGTTTGGGTTTTGGCTTCAATTTTTGGCGTGTTTTAGGCTTTTATTCATCGGGCTTTCTTCTTTGCACTGGTATCTTTTTTTTACCCCAACCCAACGTTGGATTGGCGTATCTAAGCATTTTCATTATCGTCGTCGTCGTCATTTTGGGTGAGTTGTCAGGACTCTCTCTCCCCCTCCATCCCTCTCTCTCT